TTACCATATTGCTGTTGATGCCGTGTCCAGCCGGAGCGTAACATAAAACCATATCTGAATTTGTGATCGGATAAAAGACAAACAACAAGCCCTACTCGACACTGCCCAAAAGAGGCGGCGGCCTAGAGTGAGCAGAGGCCGGGGGCTAGAGTGAGCGGAGGCCGGTGGGCTTGTGAACGGCGCGGCCGGCGGATTCGAGAAAGGAGCGTCCGGAGGGCTTGCGGCAACCACATGTGACGACCCCGGGCTGGACTCCGCTTCGTCCACGGTGAAAGCCGATCCGGCGATCCACAGCGCAAAGTTGTTGTATTTCCTTAGCAACCAGCACGGATCAGCTCTAGGCATGACGAAGCGGATATCGTCCTCTTTTGGAAGGCCAAACAAAGTAGTTTCGTTTTCACAACGAATCACACAGTGCCTTCACGACATGGCGGCGGCGGCAACAATACTACAGCGAGAATAAAAGTTATGCCTTCTTTCTTTGCGTGAACATTTGGGCGGCGTTATGCAAATCTTCCCACATAGTGAGGTAGATATGTGGGGGCGTGTTAGAACGAGCCGTTTTAGGTAGGCGTGGCTGACTCTTAACTTTTATAAAGAATATTTCTTTGGATTTGAGACTTTAGTCTTTGCAACTTTACAGATCTTCTTTATGCACCAAGAGCTTGTAACACTCCAAAGAGAAAGGAAAAATTTAAATCGCATCATATGACCCCTTTAAGTCTCATTATAACATACAAAACATACCTTAACTCCCTTTTTCAAAAAGGAAGATGTATAGATGTAGAATCAGATATTGTTTTGATATTTTATCCTTTATTTGTATTCTGAAGTTTCCATCAAAAAGTGATTCTAAGAGAGGTGAGTCTGAATCAGTAGTGGGTGAGGTAAACAGATGAGAGAAACAGATGAGAGATGCATGATGGAAACAGAATATAGATGCTGGAAAATGATAGATAAGATGGATAGTATTTTGAGGCCCTGGCAGAGATTGATGTGCCTGAATGGCAGTAATGTAACAGGGGAATACTGGAGGGCACACAGCTGTCATGTGTAAATAAAAGCTTGTACTATCCTAACACATACCACAAGAGATTTGTATTGGAGCCTCAGTAGGAGCTGCAGGTGCTGCATGCAGTGTTATTTTGTGATATTTGGAGAAATGTAAGAATATAATTAAGAATAAAAGATTGCAATATTTTTTGTTGTTGTTGTTTTTGTAAATACAAAATTGCTAATTTCAACCTTTTGTATTCACTGAAACTAGGAGTGGTAGTACATTAAAAGAATTAAATAAAGTAATTATAAATAATTAAAATAAATTAGTTAAAGTCTGTAATTCCAGACATTAAAAAATGTAATGTTCTTCAGGGTTCACACTCTTTATGGTGAATAAATTAACATAACTTTTTGACAGTTTGTGATAATAAAATAAAATATAAAATAAAATAAAATGTTTGTAGACAAAAATAGAAATGTACCTGCTGTTTCTATCTGCTAAAATATTTTAGAACAGAAAAAAATTATTTTAGAGACTAATTTATTCAGTATTGATTATTTTTCATTTTAATGCAAATTTACATGACTTAAAGGTGGGGTAAGCGATTTCTGGTAGCCAATGTTGACATTTGAAATCACCAAAACAAACACACCACTACCCCAAAAGGGTCTCGCCCCTATTTTGATAGCTCCGCCCCACACATACGCCATTTCAAGCTCAAAATAATTTAAAGGTACAGTAGTATGAAGCAGAGTGAGGCGGAAAGCCGTCGAAGCAAAACAAGGCCGCTGAACGAGCGTGACACACGACTCGAAAGCAGCAGAGCTTTTATTATGCCACAGTCGACCGCTTCCGCTTCTGGAAAGCAGCGGAAGTAAGCGCTGTTTTATCATACTAGATACATTTGAACGTTCTGTTATAATGCTACTCTGTGCGGTCGTCACCGGTCTATTAAAACGCACAACATATTAAAGCGTCTTTGGTGTTTCCATGTTTTCTACAAAACAAAACCGGAAATCGAGGGGTTATGACGTCATTGGCAGGCGACACAATGACACTATGGACACGGTCCGTGTCACAAGTTAAAATTGCTTATTTCTCTGGATTTAAACATTCTTCGAAACATTTGGGATAATGTAAGTACACAAGTCAGCAAAATATATAAAACTGTTCTAGTGGTTTTTGGATATTTTAATCAAAAAAATCTTACATATTGTGCCTTTAAGATTTAATGGGTTTTCCTGATTTAGAAATCACACTTAAAATTCCCTGGTATGTCCAGGTTTTTCAAGACTGTGGGAACCCTCATTCTTGAATAAAAATTGCAGTTGTTGAAGGAATAAATCAAAATAAGAAAATTGTGTTACATATTTTAGCTGTTTTAGCCTATTGTAGGTTTTTTTTGTCTTATTTTAAATCAGTTTAAGCCATCTTGTGGCCCCCTTGGAAGTGTGCTGAGGCCCCTATTGGGTCCCAGTCACCTGCTGTAATATGTCATAAAAACTGGAGTATTTTCTCATGCTATGTCCTGTATCTGTGTGTTTTTAGATCCTTACGTCAAGATTCACCTGATGCAGAACGGCAAACGGCTGAAGAAGAAGAAGACGACAATCAAAAAGAACACCCTCAACCCTTACTACAACGAGTCTTTCAGTTTCGAAGTGCCATTCGAACAAATCCAGGTAATTCAAGTTTTTTTTTACTTGTACTGAAACCGAGCTCTAATATGGCAACGGCAAATTCAACGCAAATTCCCATTTTCATTATTGTCATTAAAGACTAATTAAACAAATCCTGTGTTGAAATTTATAGAGAATAATTGGCAAGCAACAGACGAAAAGTTACTTGTGAAATGGGATAAGGCTTGGCGTGAGGCTTTTAAAAAAGTTTTGTTGCTAATTATTTAGAGAATAAAATGGATGCAATGCTTGCTAGTGCAATAAGAATAAAATTGCTTCAAATTGATTTAGCATTTCACAGTTCAGGGGATACATTTTATGCTTTGAGTGAGCTGCTTTGAATTCAAAGTGTGTCTGGGGGTCTGTTAACCAGAGAGGCCTTTCTCCCTTCCCATTCACACCAAGCAGCAGACATTTCTAAAAGCGGCTATCCCCAACTAACAGTTCCTCGCTCATTGTACATCCCTCAATATTTCATTACATGGCAAATTAGCTCTGGCTCCCGAGAACAATGGCCCCAGGCCTGTTCTCACTGGTCAGTGAAGTCCAAGCGGAGAGGTGGATCGAAGGATAATCAGGGCTCTGAAGACATTCATTCATATTGTCTGCTCGCATTTCGTGCGCAGGTCGGATCGGGCTCAAAGTAAGCAAGCTAAGAGCGAGCCATTGACCCAGAACTCACACCGATCAGTTGTGTGCTCACAGTCAATTTACAGAGTTGTTCGGACCTCTTTGGTGGCACCCGCTGGCCTTTCTTTGGTATCTGCTGTCATGCTCTTCAAAGACCCAAGCTGCTATAGAGTAACAGGCCCTTGAAAAGACCATCACACTGAGATAATTGTAGTGGTATTTAGGAAAATGGTAAATTTGTATTTTGTACATGTGTGTATTTTCTATGTGTATTTTCAGTCATTGTTAAACAATGTTGCCCGGCAACCCATTGTAGGATATTCATAATGTTAAAGGCCTCTTCATTAAGTTATAAAATGTCGTTTTTAAATGTGTCAGAATTTATAAAAAACTTTTTATAACTACTGTACTTTACTGTATATATTTATATATACATGGCTGTTCAAAAGTTTGAGATTCAGTTGTTTTTTTTTTAAAGCAATTAATACTTTTCAGAAAGGATGTATTAAATTGATCAAAAGAGAAAATAATTTACACGCCTTGCTGAGGGTAAGAGGTTTGTTTAAATCTATAATTACACACAATTATCTTAGCCTTACCTTTTCTTCATAGGGCTATATGTTAAAATATTACAGTTCTTCTTATTATAATCATGTTCCAAATTCCGTTTGATTTTAGTGCTCTCAAATGATTAATCATGATTAATCACATCCAAAATACAGTTTATATAATATATGTGTGTATAAAGTTTTGTTTATGTAATATATGTGTGTGTACTGCGTATATTTATTATGTATATAAAGACACACACATACAGTATATATTTAGAAAATATTTACATGTATTTACATGTTTATATTGATCTTCATATAATTTATATTATATATAAATACACTTAATATATAAACATAACGTATTTTTCTTAAATACATGCGTGTATTTATATATACATAATAAACATAAACAGTACACACACATATATTATGTACACAAAAACTTTTATTTTGGATGCGATTAATCGCACATATATGGGTCAATTTTTTGAAATTGAGATTTATACATATACATAAATAAGCTTTCCATTGATGTATGGTTTGTTAGGATAGGACCATATTTGGCCGAGATACAACTATTTGAAAATCTAGAATTTGAGGGTGCAAAAAAATCAAAATATTGAGAAAATCGCGTTTAAAGCTGTCCAAATGAAGTTCTTGTCAATGCATATTACTAATCAAAAATTAAGTTTTGATATATTTACGGTAGGAAATTTGCTAAATATCTTCATGGAACATGATCTTTACTTAATATCCTAATGATTTTTGGCATAAAAGAAAAATCGATAATTTTGACCCATACAATGTATTGTTGGCTATTGCTACAAATATACCCCAGCGACTTAAGACTGGTTTTGTGGTCCAGGGTATATATATATAACAATATAACAAAGAGTGAAAAATTTAAGGGGGTCTGAATACTTTCCGTACCCACTGTATATTAAAAATGTCAACTATATTAAAACAGTTATTTTAAATTGTAATATTTCCCAGTATTACTGCTTTCACTGTATTTTTGATCACATAAATACAGCCTTGGTATGCATACAAGATTTCTTTCAGAAACAGTAAAAAAATCTTACCGACCCCAAACTTTTGAACGACACTGATCATCATCATCATCATTATTATTACCCAGCACATGTTCAAACAAACTGAAAGGCACAAATGTTACATTACAAATGTGTGTCTCTACTTTCTATTACAGAAAGTTCAAGTTGTTATAACTGTTCTGGACTATGACAAGATTGGCAAGAACGATGCCATCGGCAAAGTGTTTGTGGGTTTGAACAGCACAGGCACCGAGATCCGTCATTGGTCAGATATGCTGGCCAACCCGAGGAGACCCATCGCTCAGTGGCACGTGCTCAAGCCGGAGGAGGAAGTGGATGTCCTGCTAGCAGCTCAGAAAAAATAGAGCAGCCCGTGCCGCTCTTCATGCACCCTCACTCCTAATTTCGTGTCTAAGAAAACCGCCTTCTTGGACCACCCCCTTGAGATGTTGTGTTGTTACGTCGGTTTTGACCCCTCGCCCCCTTCCTTCCTTCCTTCCTTCCGTCGATAAACTTTCTCTGTCCTTTGTTGTGTCACCTCCATCCACGACCTTAAAAGTCCCCGACCAAATGCCCCCTTCTTTTAAGCAATATGATCTGTATAGATAGCGCATGACTGGAGGAATTTATTGTACCACAGGTGTATATATCAGTATGCAGACGAAAATGATTTCTAGTTTATGTGTTTGTATGTTGTTACCCGTTTCCTAATCTGTGTATATCTTGATGTTTTTAATAAGATGTTCTATTTTAAATTATGTAAATGCTGACATAGAAGAGCCAATATTATATATAACAGGATTTAAGAATTTTACCTTATTGCATTCCACTAAAATATACGATATATCTCTATATAAATATTTAAAGAATTCCAACCTGCAAGACGCTAGTGGAGGTACACTCACTTCGTAAAGGACGGTTTGTGCTTCATGACGGTGATGCTGTTAACTTTTAGTAAAACGGGTCCCCGGTTTGCTTCTTTCTTGTTTTCTGTCCTTTGATTCCCGAATCTTCCTGAATCCGATCTGGCATCTTTGCGAAACTGTAAATTGACAAGCTGTAGCCATCGTGTCCTTGAAGCTTGAATTTGTGAATCGCTTCCTTTTCTTGTCCTTGGACTCGTTTCGTTGAGGAATTTACGGTTCAGCCTCCAAAAAAAATGAAACCAGGAGTTTTGACTCTAGCTTTAAGACAACTATTTTTTAGATTAAGTCAACGTCTGAATATTTTTGGTAACTGCATGATTTTTTTTTTACGATCTTTGCTAAAGGCCGGGTAACGGGGGGATTTAATTACACCGGGGCGTCTTTCAAGAGACTCCCTTGCCTTCAATCAAAAGTAATCAAACGTTGCGGGATGGAAACTTTTGAAGTGCTCCGTCCCGACGAGTCGATGATGGGGAGGAGGAGGAAGAGGAGAGGCGAGCTTTTAAACACTGCCATTGTTTTCAGGGAGGTACGAGGAGCACGTGACTCCTCCCTCCACGCACACTTCACTCAGATAGTGGTTGTAGCTTCGGTTCATTGGGGAACAATGTATTTTGGCCGCGACGGTGCCCTAAACAGCAGTTTTTGCTTTCTGTTGCCTTTTCACAGTGACAATAGAGTTAGCCATGCTTAACTGCCAATCCCTTCCCCCGTGGCTACTGTTTTGCACTGTACAGTCTAGGAACGGACAGTTGCTTGTCGAGAAAAGTCAGTTCGTTCAATAGCGCAAGAAAGCGAACCGGCCCCCGACCGGTTTGGACGCCACGAGCATTAGCGAATCTTTAACAATAACCGTAAAAGTTAATGGTCTGTACAGGTGATAACATTCTAATGTCCTTTACTACGGGTCTAACAAGAGGGCGAGTAGACGTTTAGTCCATTAAAACCATGAGTTATCTTGGAGGAACCTCTCGCGTACACTAGATGCTAGCTTCAGGAGGAGTTTCTAAATGTTTTCAATGTTACTGTGTAGGTGATAGCACTGTTACTTATAAATAAAAGGAGAAAAAAAAGCTATTCGTCATTCCATAGGAGTCTCTTGGGACTGAGTTGTGTATCACTGTGACTGCGGTGTGTGCTTAGCGTTGTAGTTTTCAGTAGGTAGCGGCCATCTTGTACTACAGTGACGTTGTGCTGCCATCCCCTTATCACACCACACGAGAGTACGAAAGAGAGAGCGACGGTTTCCGATAACAGTTACGGAGCGCGCGCGATTCACACAGCATTTTGTTGAGCACTGTGCAATACTTGTATGTTCATTCCCTAGTGTTTAAACGGGCGGCATCTCTCGATAGGGGCAAAAAAGAGAGAGCGAAAAAAAACGCAACCCTATACAGCGAGACGATGTATCCATCGACCGTAGTCTGGTTAGGTCACAGCACACGTGTGTAGTTTGGAGCTCAACATCTGTAAACTTGTTAAGGATTCCTCCGTTTTTCCCGTTGAGTTTTCCTGCACACAGATTTAACCATCCAAACATTCGGGTAAACGAATATATATATATATATATATATATATATATATATAGGATGTACCCCAAAGATAAGGCAATATATATATCTATCTATATATATATGAAAACCCTTCCCTTTCAGAATAGGTGTATATATATTTTTATATTTGTCCTGATATCATTTCCTCATTATTGAGATCACCTGGATATAAGAGAATTGTATCAATCTTGTTATGGAAACTATCTGTTGTACTATTAATATGATTGGCTGTACCATTTTGTTATCGCTGTTATGATTACACTCATGACTATTACCTGGTTATCGTTCCTTTAGTGCCCTATTGAAGACCATTTTATATTTATTATGGAACTCAGAATGTACAGTATGGACTGTGTGTTTTGTTTCTACTTTTTATCGTGGGACCAAGTATAGTTGGCACTTTCATTTCAATGTTGCAATAAATACTGATTCATGTGTTTTATTCATAGCCGAATATGATTTCTTACCCTGTCGGAGAGAGCGAACCTAGAGAAGAACTCCAAAACGTGTAATCGCAACTATAGGTACAATTATTACTCCTACGTTACCTGACTTACTTATGTACTCTCGTTTATATAAGTATTTATGATATCTTAATACAAGAGGCTTGTTTATAAAACAAGGATAAAAATGCAGTATCACAAACTGACACACTCGTTTTGGACGGCAAAAGGGTGTTGTTGTACTATCAGGTGTCTGCACTATGGGTGTAGAACTGGAAGTACAGTAGAAGACAGCATTGCTCGTTGCACCTCAGAGGTTTGTAAAGTAGTCTGAAAAGCCATTTCTAGCCCTGCAAAGCAACGCTATCTTTTACTGAAGCCTACCAAAGCACGCAAACAGCTCCGACAACCGCACCCGACAACTTGAAAAAGAGAAACAACAACAAAAAAAGCCTGATCGCTCAGCACAGTATACGCATACAACCTTCCGATAATCTACGACGACAAAAAGCCACCTTTCAAGAAAAAGCTGTGTAAAGAATTAGAATCTGATGCTGTAGGGAGATCCTAGTTGCCTTTGTGTATATCAACTGCCTGCTTGAGTATTTTTGTGTGTGGATCTTTTCTCTGTAATCTTGTAGAACATTTCGGGGTGTTTTTCTTGCCATACTGCTCGCCCCAGCGGCGAGCCGACAGTTATATTGCTGTGTATACCTTCATTTTCGATGAGGTGTTTTACAATTTCGTTTCACTTTGTGTAGTGATTCACTCTGTGGAGTTTCTGACTGTTGTTATATAACTTCATATACACAAATGTTCAATAAAAATGTTTTATTTCCTGTTCATACAGAATTTTCTCAAGAGCCTTTTTTTGGTCTTAAATTATATATATATATATATATATATATATACAGTGGTGGCCAAAATTATTAGAACACTTGGCATATTTCAGGTTTCAGTTGTTTTTGTCGAATTGGCCATTACAATACCCATAAAACTAAGGAAATATCTATGTGTAGGCTATATATATATATTTATATATATCTCCTGCAGAAATAGTAAGCCAAGACTTGTAGCATTTTCTCTGGATTTTCCATTTGATAATGGGTCATAAATGTCACTAAGTGATTTATATACGGATTATAACAGTGAACTATGAAAATGTCTGAATCTCAAGAGGTCAAGTGTGAAATATCAAAGACGAAACAACATTTCTGTGTCTTTAGTTCAATATCTTCCATTTCAGGCTTACTGAGTGTGAAGCCCATATAGATATCCTCTGAGCGGATTGGCGCTCGGGAGCACGCGCACGGAAGCGCTGATAATGAAATATGGGCTCCTTCAAGAACAAGATAAGAGCGGGGCTGCGCGGGGGTCTCGGGGCTATCGGCTCCACAGGATCAAATGCATTTCGGCATACATGACTTTGACCATCTCGCACCATTACGTACATATTACTCAGCAGTCGGCCGCTTCATCTCTGAGTAGGTCTTCAAGGTCTGCTTAAGAGCAATGAATACGAGATGAGGCTGGTGTCTGTGCACCTTCTCACTATCACACTCAAGCATGAGCGCTAAATTTGGTCATGATCTAAAGTTACAAATCCTTCCAGTGAAAAACCTCATGTTACTTTTCTGTCGCTAAGCAGAGATACAATCCTGATGTGGTTACGAAATATCATAGATTTTATAAGTAAACTTCATCTGTTCAATTCATTGCAATTTCTGCAATAACAGATGTCATGATTGTTATGCAGTCATTTAAACATTAATAATGTGGCATGACAATGACATCTCTTGTGATCCTGATTTAAGGAAGATGGTCTATAATAAAAAATAAAAAAAACTCATCATTGTTCATTTCAATTGCAGTTGCTTGGCAGGTTCCTGGCTGGAACTTTTCTTTTTACCTGTTTGGTCAAAACAGTCCACTAAGTAAACCCCAGAGGGCGCTACTCGCTATTGCAGCTTCAAGTCGCGTTATTATGCGTCTTCCTCTACTTTTTTACGTACTCGCTCTAGTTTCGTCACCGAGAACGACCACAAGAATGTCACCATCGTGTCATCAGCTTCAAAGTAAGACACAAAATAACACATAAAGTCCCAAATGCATCTAAACTTATACAAACTGCGACAGGCTGATTGTCGTCGTTTTCCATACAGGCGAACAATGAAAACGCGCGCGGGATTATACGTCACGTGTGTCCAATAGAGACGTATCCGTGCGTAAGCATTTTACAAGGTCAAAATTGCAGCGATAACATAAGAATGTGCTTGTCAATGTTCAAACCCCTTCTTTTTGTTCCCTGCCGTTTTTGACCAATTATGACCGCCTTGATGTGAAATGAAGCCATAGTGTGCGGTGTGAATAGTCATGCAGCTTTGGTAACCTTCCTTACGTGAAGTAAAGTCGCTTAATAAATGGTTCATGAATTAATATTTATGAATAAATAAACATGTCCTCGTGATAGTAAAACGTCTTTAATCACCAAGATGCTTCAACATATTTATTTTAATCTTTAAAGTGACCCTATGGATTTTTGAAAATTACCTTTCATGAATAAATCACGCAGTACACTGTAACACAGCTCTATGCTCACTCTGTGGAGTTTCTGACTGTTGTTATATAACTTCATATACACAAATGTTCAATAAAAATGTTTTATTTCCTGTTCATACAGAATTTTCTCAAGAGCCTTTTTTTGGTCTTAAATTAACTTCATTCTGCTTTTGAATCTTCAAACCGCATGAAATGAGTAACAATGTTCCATAGTTTCTATCAGAATACCTTAGTAACATTTTATTGTTCTTAGTACAATAAAATGTGGCATGAATGAACAAATAAATGAAATAAAGTCAAATAACAAAATGATTCTTGCATTTACTTCCAAGAAGAGCCCATATTTAATAATGAATAAATTCAGGGTTCTCACAGTCATGAAAAAAATTAAGGACATTTTATATTGGCCTTTTCATGAACATTGAATATTTAGCTCTAAAATAATTACTTA